CCCGTGGAGGCCAGCAGTCAGCCTTGGCTGTCTGTCATTCCTCAGGCATTGCCCACCTTGTATTTTGGAACAGGGTCTCTCGCTGGCCCGGAACTGGATGACAGGTACTCTCGACTAGCTGGCCAAGGAGCCCTAGTCATCTGTCTCTTTACCCAGCACTGGGGTTGCCCAAGTTCTGCCTGGTGACCAAACTCAGGTCCTCATCCTGCAGGAGAAGCATTTCACTACATAAGGTGTCTCCCCAAGTCCCACTTCAAGTTTGTGTGTGGAGGTGAGAGGACAGCCTGCAGTCAGTTCTCTCACCACCTGTTGTCACTGGCTAAACTCAGGTCACCATCACTGCTGCTGAGCGTTGGTGATGCACACCTTTAATCCCAGCGCTCAGGAGGCAGAGGCAGGCGGATCTCTGTGAGTTTAAGGCCAGCCTGGTCTACAGAGTTTCAGGACAGCCATTACAGAGAGAAACTGTCTCAAAAAACAAAGAAAACAACTTTACTGTTTAAAAGCTACTTACTAATCAGTTTCTGATAAAAGCCTACTACTTTCACCAGTTAGAAAAATGCTTTAAATATCGTTCAGGGGGAAAAAACCTCATGCCCCCAGGTTTTTCTTTTTCCTTACATCCCTGGGTCCTATTATCATTTGGGTGGGTCACGCTTTTGGGGGCCCTTGTGCTCCTCGAGCAAAGGAAGGAGACAGGACAAGATTGGTGCCTGGTACTGGAGACAGGTTGGAAAACTGAAGGCAAGGGCTGGCCTGCTATGGTGCCCTGTGTGCGTTCTTGTTTCTCTAAGTTATGGGCTGGAGAGATGGCTCAGAGGTTAAGAACACTGGCTGCTCTTCCAGAGGTCCTGAGTTCAATTCCCAGCAACCACATGGTGGCTCACAACCATTCCTAATGAGATCTGGTGCCCTCTTCTGGTGTGCAGGAATATATGCAGAATATATGTATACATAGTAAGTAAATAAATCTTTAATAAAAAAAGAGAGTATTGAAGCCAGGCGGTGGTGGCGCACGCCTTTAATCCCAGCACTCGGGAGGCAGAGACAGGCTCTCTGTGAGTTTGAGGCTAGGCTGTACCGATAGCCTCCAAAACAATACAGAGAAACCCTGTCTCGTAAAAACAAAAAAACAAAACAAAACAAAAAAAGAGTATTGCCGAAGCTCACCTATGATCAGACACACAGTTATAAACAATGTGTGAAGAACAGTCTCTATGCACCACTGATTTTCCTTTGGGCAATCGCCATATTAGGATTTTTTTTTCCGCCGGGCGTTGGTGGTGCACGCCTTCAATCCCAGCACTCGGGAGGCAGAGGCAGGCGGATCTCTGTAAGTTCGAGACCAGCCTGGACTACCAAGTGAGTTCCAGGACAACCTCCAAAGCCACAGAGAAACCCTGTCTCGGAAAAAAAAAAAAAACAAAAAAAAAAAAAGGATTTTTTTTTCATGTGTAGCTCTACACATTGTTTTGATGTGGAAAACTCAGCCTACATTTGTGCTAAGATTTAAAAGAATGAATTCACTTGGCAAATGACCTGTACATGATTTTGAAATACTGCATTAATGTTGTTGAATGTTTCTTATGTAGTTGATGTATGCATGTGAAACTCGCAACTCTTGCTTCAAAGCAGACACACCAGGTTCTTCTAGTGTGACTCCACGGCTCTTTCTGAGTTCAAGTATGGAGGAGCAAGCCATTTAGTAAAGTGTTTACTGCACAAGCCAGAGAGTCTGAGTTTAAAACTCCACATTCACATAAAACACCAGGGGTGGGGGACTGGCCGGCCAGCCAGTGTCTGGTCACATTGATTAGCTCTAAGTTCAGTACAAGACTTATCTCAAAAAATAAGGTTGGACGAAATTAACAAACACATAAGGCAGCATGGTAGAAGTTGTTTAGAATGTATAGGAAAATACATCATACATGAAAGGAGGGCGATTGCCTGACACACAGCTGTTCTTTCTCTCCCTACAGAAAGTTTTTGTCATGCCAAACATGGATGATGTTTATATCTCTTTGATGCACTCGGCCATGGACCCTCGCTCCACTTCCTGCTTCCTGAAAGACCCCCCTGTGGAGGCCTCTGACCAGCTGTGATGGGAGGAAACGGGACATTCCCAGTATTATGAGACCTAGCTCGAGGTGTGGGATTTGTGGCTGCCATCTGTGCTGTGGGGTTGGCCTTTGCTGACCTTAGTCTCTTAAGGACTGCTTGTGCCCTCTGCCTGCCGTGCCCATTCCACTGAGGTGTCGTTCCCTGCATCCCGTGACTGGTGTCTGGTTTGTCTGTTGCAAAGTTTTGATTGGCAAAGGAGACTGGAGAACCATCATGGTGGAGCCAGAAGTTACAGCTCACTATAACACCGTGGCTCGCTTTTTTTTTTTAAGTCTACCAGGTTTTGCAGTAGCAAATGAGCGCATTTGGAGCAAAGCTGTACAACTCACTGGAAGGCCTCCCCTTGCCTCTTCCAAAGCTTTTCCTCAGGCAGCTGGTGCACAGTGGAACACTTTTCCACTCTACACTTTGTACGCATGATTGCAGCCTCCATGAGTGGGGAATATCACTGGTAACCTGTGTGGAGTGTGGTTTTGTGAGCCATTTCATCGGTAGTAAAGATAGGCATAGCAACTTTTTTCATATTAAATTGTGCATTTTGGAAGCAAGTAGCCATGGGACACACACCCACAAACACATTTTCAGCTGGGGTGGGGACAGGGGGTTCATGTGAACATCAGACAAAGTCATGAGACTTTCCCAAATGAGGCAGTCACCTGGCTTCTAACCAACCTGATAGTTTCCCATGACATGAGCATGTCAGACAGTGCAGTGACTGATGGCTCCTCTGGATACTGATGGGATGGGGCCAGACAGCTGGAGCCAAGTTCTTTTCTGCATGCTCCAAGAAGCTTCTGTAGGATGGGAAGACCTTGCTCATCTAACTGGTTTGGGAGGTTGGTGGCCAGAGGACTGCTCTCTGCATTCTAGTCTGCATCAGGCACTACATCTCCACGTGCACTTGTGACCTTTCTTTAACGTTGCCAACTTATGTTTGAGCATTTGTGTCAGAATGTTTGGTTTACAAATCTGGGGGCTCTAACTTGCTTTGAGAAGACCTAATACAATTTTAAAGTTGCATCCAATGTCAAAATTACCTTGTGTAACTTTTGATAATTTAATGTCTGTGCATAAAGCTAATAGCGTCTTTTTTTTTAAACAGCACCTTGCCTGAAGATGACTTTAAAGAAATTAATATATTAAAAATTTATATTTGAACCTTTTATTTTAATCATCCCATTGAAACATGACAAATTATTTGACCATTCCAGTCGGTGTACTGCTCTATTACTCATTGTGTAGGCCAATTCACCTGTCAGTCAGCATGTCTTGTCTTTTCTGTGTAGTAGTGGCTAAGGGGGAAGACTAGAAACACTACAGTGTAAAGAGATTACACGACTGTACCCTGTCACTTAAAATACTGGGGGACTTAAAAATCGAAATTGTCTCACAAAATAAATCTCATGAAACACCAGGAAGGCATCGGTTATTTCTAGAAAACCCCATTAAAAGCATAGCACCTAGACCCTTGCTAGTTTTATCCACCCTTCCGAGCCCCCAGCTTTGAAGTGGGAATGCAATTGAATGCAGTTACCTTTCTGGAAAGATTAAGGGGGTACAAATGAGGGACTAATCTTGTTTTCCAGGGAAACTGACCTTGGGACCGTTTTTTCTTAAGCTTCCTATTGTTTCAGCTTGTTGGCTCGACTGCATTTAACAATGTAGTCTTTACTGTTCTTGCTCGCATTAGAACCATCAGGGCTCACTCTCAATTATTCATGTATTATACCCCCACCCTGTGCACTCAAGTTTAAGGGCTCGTCTAACAAGTGCCCCACATCTCCCTATAATTGCTTGCCAGTAAACTGACAGTTTGGTTTGCTTCGAGTTTCAGGGCTTTGCTTGTCAAAACGCCCAACTAAGCAATTTCTCCACAGAAAATTTTTCTCATTAGTACCCGAAGCACTAAGAATGCTCTATAGAGCGTTCGCGTCTTTAATCCCAACACTGGGGGGAAGGGAGGCAGGTGAACCTGAATTCCAGGCCAGCCTGGTCTAGAATGTGGTCCAGGACAGGCTCCAAAGGTACAGAAGGCCTGTCTCTTTTTTTTGGTTTTACGAGACAGGGTTTCTCTGTAGTGCTTTGGAGGCTGGCCTCGAACTCGCAGAGATCCACCTGCCTCTGCTTCCCGAGTGCTGGGATTAAAGTCGTGCGCCACCAACGCCCGGCCACAAGGCCTGTCTCTTAAAACAAATTCCCCCATAGCATAAATACTAGCCGTCCTCAGTCACTCAAACTAAAACTGGCCTCACCCACCCCAGTAATGGAGAGGCACCCACTGTTGCATGTGCTAACCCAACATCGATCCCTCTAGGCCTCCCCTCATTACCTTGCGCCCCTCTCCCCGGCCAGAGTCGCCTCAACACCTGTGTGCCACAGGTGCGCTTACGCACTTCCGGGGTCAACCACGAGGCGCCCTTTGCTGCTATCCACTTTACCGCCGGGCGAGCGAGCACTGTCACCCCACAGGCCCGCGCACGTAGGCCATGGTTACCCCAGATATACCACTTGCAAGCTGTCTTCCCTCGACCCCGAGGTGCCTCGTGGCCGGCTGGTTTCGGCCTGTGGCTGGCAGTTAAAAGGGCCGCCCGCGATGGGCAGGGGGCCCCAGTTATGAACCAGCGATTGCTATGGCGCCGCAGCTTAACTCCCGGCGCCACGAGGAAGGGCGCCGGGGGCTCAAAGGCAGCGCGTCGGGGGACAGTGACACACGGACGCCAGCGCTGGGGTCAAAACACTTTATTCAGAGACTTGGGGGGAAGGCTGGGGAGATCCACGCGGTCCGCTGTCCTCCACGGGGCAGATCTGAAAGAGAAGCCAAGGGTGAGGGGACGGAAGCTGGCGGGGCCCGCCGCCACTTCCCGCAGCCGCCGCAGTCGGCTCAGACTCGGATTCGCATCACCCGGATCAGCAGTCTAACGCGTGCTTGGTAAGGATTGTCATCACCGCCGACCGCCCACCCGCACAAGACGCAGCCCCCTCGGCCCACGCGAAGGACGCATTACCTCGAGTCTACCCGTCGCTAAGAGGGAGAAGACGGCGCGAGACCCTAACTTAAAGAAGACTTCCGGAAGTCGTTGGGCGGGCTTTTACGATACTGACCAATAGGAAGCCAGTTCTCTTGTCATGCGCACGAAAGCGAGCGACTCATTGGTCAAGCTTTCTGAGTCCTCCAGAGTGGAGAAAGGTCACGCTCTAACCATAGAGATGGGAAACTGGCAGTTTGCAGGTTGCTGGTGTATCGCTTCCGGATTTATTTTCTACAACTCAGTTCGGGGGCTGTAATTAGCGCCTCCCTTAGCAGTAAGCCGACAAGTAAAAACGTGATGTGTTTGAGGTACTCTGTCCCAGTAGCCAGGTTGAGGGTGGGGAAATGAGCCTAGGTAGCCCCGGGTTCACAGGACCCAGGCGGTAGAGCCGACACCGTGTCTGTGAACCAGTCCTGGTTTTGTGATGAATTGGGTCATTTGACTTTTCTGGTCCTCAGTTTCTGACTGTCTTCCCACAGCCCGGCGTGATAACTCATGCGTTATCCCAGTTTAAATTTTTTATTTTATATATTGTGTGTTTGGTTGAAAACGTGCGTATTCATCCTCACCAAAGCTGGTTAGGATGCACAGCGACAGAGCTTTGCTCCTGTTACTTACCTTTGGGAGTACAGAATGGGATAGCCATTTTGGAAAAGTAATTGGACAGTTTCTTATTAATTCCCACTTGCCATGTGATCCATTAATCCCTGGGAATTTACTCAAGAATCAAAACTCGTGCCGACAAAAGAGCTCATACATAATTGTAAATAATTGTGTAAAGTCAAAAGCCCTACCCCCAACTGCGAATACACAAAGGCTCTTTAATGGGTAAATAAATATAAGCTAATTATGTTGTCTATACCGTCAAAAGCTACTTGAGAAAACACAATTGTCCTTTGACAGATGTGATGCTTGGAAGTTTCTAGAGATCTTTGCCGGCTGAGTCATCTTGCCTGTCCCCTCTTTCTTCCTAAAAGATCTTGCTTGGACAACCCAAACTGGTCTTGAATTCATAGTCTTGCATCAGCCTCCCAAGTACTGGGAATCAGGAGTGTGTTCCACACCATCCAAGGAGATTTTTTTGTTTTTTACTTTGTTGGTATTCTCTGCTTTTTATTGTTTTTGTTTTTTGAGCTCCTTATCTCAAGAGTTATAATTACAGTTATGTACCAACACCTTGGCTCTTCTAGTTTCTTTTTCTTTTTTCCTTTTGTGTTTTCTTTCATTTTTTCTTTTTTTGGTTTTTCGAGACAGGGTTTCTCTGTATTGTTTTGGAGGCTGTCCTGGAACTCACTCTGTAGACCAGGCTGGTCTCGAACTCACAGAGATCCTCTTGCCTCTGCCTCCCAAGTGCTGGTTTGATTAAAAGTGTGTGCCACTACACCTGCCTAGTTCCTTCCTCCCTCCCTCCCTCCCTCCCTCCCTCCCTCCCTTCCTCCCTCCCTCCCTCTCTCTCTCCCTTCTTTCCTCTTTCTCTTTTAGGTTTATTTATTATAAATAAATATTACACGGTGTTCTGCCTGCAGAACAGAAGAGGGCACCAAATCTCATTATAAATGGTTGTAAGCCACCATGTGGTTGCTGGGAATTGAACTTGGGACCTCTGGAAGAACAGCCAGTGCTCTTATCCTCTGAGCAATCTCTCCCAGATCAGCCTACCTAATTCCTTAAAATAGATTCTTAGATTATTAATGGAGACTTTCTTCCTTTCTAAAATCCCATTTTAAAAAATTGTATTTTTCACACTGGGGATTGCTTTAGAGGCATTCCACACATTATATTGTGTTCTCATTAATATTTGGCTCTAAATGTTTTCCAATTTTCCTTGTGATTTTTCTGTCTTGCTCATGGGCTGTTTAGAAGAGTGGTGTTAGCTGGGTGCAGTGGTACACAGCAGAAAAACCAGCACTTGGACGATGAAGGTAGGATCAGAAATTCAAGATCAGCCGCGGTTACTTGTGGAGTCTAAGGCCAGGCTGAGCTACATGAGAACCTGCCTCATAAAAACACGAGTTCAGTTTCGTCCCAGCACCCACATCAAGCAGCTGGCAACTGCCTGTAACTCCCCTTCCAGAGGATCGATGCCCTCTCCTAGCCTCCACAGTGGAGTGGGCAGGCAAGACAGGAAGCTGACAGTAGGCATTTGAGTATTACACAATCTGCATCTGCAGATAAGAAACTTGGGAGGCCTTGGGTTAGGTAGTCCTGGTTCTGGATCATTTGTGAAGTTTCCATCTGATGACCATCCTCGCCTACAAGCTTGTTAGGATTGGATTATCTACTCCAGCCTCACTCTGCTGTGGGCAGACAGCCTCAGGTCCTTACTGCATGGGTCTCTCTAGCACTGCTGACAGCATGAAGCTGGCCTGCTGCTTCCCTAAGAGTAAGAGAGCTGTGAGATGGGGAAGGAAGAATGAGAGCTACAAAATCTCCACTCTTGGAAAGGGCATGCCATCATTTTCCACAATATATTGATCTCTTGGACCAACCTTGGTACAGTGTGGAAGCGGCCCCCAAAAGGAAGTGAGTACCAGAACACAGGGATTTAGGAATACCATTTTGGAGGTTGACTCTTATAGTCCAGACTTATTTTATTGTCCAGCACATGATCTGTTTTGTGTATTTATTGCTGTTGAGGGTAATGCTCCACAAGTAGCTTGTAGACCAAGGCATTGCAGGCGTTATTCTCATTCCAATAGGAGTGAATGTCCAACAGTGGGGCAATTATGCCACTTATGGGCCATTTGGCAATGTCTGGAGGTCATTTGGCTTTTTACAAAGAGAAGGGCTGCCGCTGACACCTGTAGAATTGTGGTGTGGGCTTCATTGTGTCCTCCAGAGAGATATGTCTTTACTTCCGTCTCCTGTGAATATGACCTCATTTGGAGACAGGGTCTTAATAGATATCATAAGTTAAGTTAGAGTGGTTTGACACTGTTGTGGTGAGAAGGGAGAGACTCAGACCTAGAGACACACAAGAAGATAACCATTTAAGGACAAAGGATGCTGGAGCGGTGTTCCTACAGGCCAAGGAATAACAGGGGTGCCCAGATGCTGGAAGAGGCAGAAGAGGGTCTTCCCCAGAGGATTCAGAGGAAACCTGGCATTACTGGTCCTTCTGTTTCAGACTTCTTTTTTTTTTCTTGGTTTTTCGAGACAGGGTTTCTCTGTGGCTTTGGAGGCTGGTTTCAGACTTCTGGCCCGCACAACTATAAAAGAATTTGCTATTTGTTTTTTCTTTGTTTTGTTGAGCCCAAGTCTCATAGCCCACACTGGTCTCAAACTCTTTACAAAGCCAAACTCCCAAGTGCTAAGATTAAAGGTGTGTATGGCTATATTCAACTCTCTATTATTTTATTTTGTAAGTTTATCTCAGTTGTGTTACTGTTTGTGTATATGTGTGTTTGCACATGTGTAATGGTCTGATTGTGGGGTCGCATGGCGCAGGCACAGAGTGTGTGTTTCTCTGTTTGTGTAAGTCAGAGGAAACCTTTGTGGAGTCAACTCTTTCCTTTTACCTTTTTTTTTTTTTTTTTTTTTTTTTTTTGGTTTTTCGAGACAGGGTTTCTCTGTGGCTTTGGAGGCTGTCCTGGAACTCACTTTGTAGATCAGGCTGGCCTCGAACTCACAGAGATCCGCCTGCCTCTGCCTCCCGAGTGCTGGGATTAAAGGCGTGCGCCACCCCTGCCCGGCTCCCTTACCTCTCTGAGGAGTGAGAGCAGCCCCCTAGGTCCATCTTTTACCTCTCTGAGGAGTGAGAGCGGCCCCCTAGGTCCATCTGAGGAGTGCTTGGTCCCAGTTAGTGGAACTGTTTGCAAAGGGTTAGGAGGTGTGGCCTTGTTTGAAGAGGTGTGTCTTTCTTACCTTCTTGTCACCTTCAATGCCAGCACTTGGGACGAAGAGGCAGGCGGATCTCTGAGAGTTCAAGGCCAGCCTGGTTTACAAATTGAATTCTAGGGCAGCCAGCACCTCTACCCACTGAGGCATTTTGCTACTGGAAAGCATCTGGTTTTGAGCACTTCTTGTGGCCTTCCTAGGAAATGAATACAGGTAGAGACCAGAGGGACCACTGAACATCCAAAATGCACAGAACTGCCTCTGCAGTCTGGGATTATCTGGCCAATTTAAAAGAAAAGAAAATTCTAAAATAAACCTGGCCCCCAAATGTCGATAGTGCTGAGACTGAACAATCCTGTTTTCTAATGCTGGGTTCTCTACTATCAGCAAACTAGAGAATGTTGAAATCTAATGTGCATTTTGTTTTGTGGTTGCCCATCAACTGTGTTGGGTTTGGCTTTGTTTTCAAGTTCAACTTTAAGGTATTTACACATTTAAGATTGTTATGATTTATTCATAAATGGGTTCTTTCGTCATTGTGGAGTGTCCATTATTTCAAAGCTAGCTTGTCTGATATCAACATAACTTTCCTAATCCCTGCCCCCCAGACAAGTTCTTGTTATGTAGCCCAGGCCAGTCTTGATTTCCCTGTGTATTCCACACTGACCTCCTCTACCTTAGCCTCTCTAGGGCTGGGATTGCAGGTGTGTGCTGCCGTGCCTGAACTACTGTGCTTAGGGTAATTTTTGTAAGGTCCCGTCTTTCTTTCTCTGTCTTTTGATTTTTAGCCTCTTTCCTATTTATATTTGAATTTAATACCTGTAAACATTTTATAATTGAGTCTTGACATTTCAAGGATTTTTTTTTTTTTTTTGGTTTGGTTTGGTTTTTCAAGACAGGGTTTCTCTGTATTTTTTTGAAGGCTGTCCTGGAACTCGCTCTGTAGACCAGGCTGGCCTCGATCTGACTGCCTCTGCCTCCGGAGTGCTGGGAGTAAAGGTGTGCAACACCAACGCCCGGTCAAGGGTTTTTTGTTTGTCTTACTTTGACATGTCTACTTTAAAAAAAGGTTTATTTTTATTT